ATACTGGTTAATGTTACCTAAGATATATTAGTGTTTTCATTCAAATCATTCCCATATCCTTTTAGCACTGCAAAGACGTTTCCGGTAGTGGTAAAAAACGTTTGTTGCTAGGCCTATATTAAATTGAGATCCTCCCAAATGCGGGAATATTGTTCGCGCAGCCAAGTTTCGTCTGAAAATGAGAATTTGTTACTTTCATCGTCAACTGGCGGTAAGTCTGGCGCTGCGAGAACAAAGAAACGTGCGGGGCCTGCACAAAGAAACTTCGCATCACGTCTTCCAAGCAAGACAGGGAGGCCAAGAAAGTTTGTTTACAAATAAGTTTCAGTTCCTTCGCTAGAATTCTATGAGGTTCTCTTCGGACTTTCGACCGTTATTTCTGAGCTCTAATTTCGGCTTATAGCTTATTCATTTCGTCAGATCAGTATTTAGTCAAAAAATTTATGTCTGGAAGATAGCAGGATATGGTTATGTCAGTGAATTCGCTACATCCAAGAGTCAGAATGGCATGTACATACAGTATACGAATATTATTTTGTGTCTAGAGCAACCAGTTCTGAACTCCAGCTAAACTTTTCAAGTCGACGTTCACCCGTTAACGGCATCATTTTTGCAATATCTAATCGGAATAGTCTTGGCTAGAAATAGAGATTAATTGTCCAAACATTCCAAATCAGCAGTTTTGCAGAGTTTTGTATTTAAAAATTGATTGATTCAGGGTTCTATCGTAAAAAATCATGTATAAAAATCAACATATTTGCATTCTTTTGAACGGCATTATAATATTTGCGTAAGGCCTACTAAAAAAATGCAACTAAGAGTTGTGAGAAGATGATAAGACCAAGGGATGCTAGCGAGCTGAAACGAGCAGAGTTGTGCGCGTGCGTAGTGCGAGAGCGGCGCACGCACACAGCAATCCTCTCACTGGGTGAGAGCTTCGAGTTACGAGCCCGCGTCCGATCAATAGAGCTTCTGAGTGGGAGAGCTGAGTGAGAGTGAGGGAGTGGGAGAGTTGAGTGAGAGGGAGGGCATCAGTGAGGTATACGGACGCAAGGTGAAGAGAGCTAGCGCAACAACCAACATCCCATCTGTCTCTCGCGTGTAGGTCGTCGGGATGCCAGGTAGCGTGTTGATGCTGAGTGATGGCGGATGGCCACCTAGATGATGGCCGATATGACGTAGTATAGGCTATCAAGACGCATCATAAAGCGTGTTGATACTGAGGTAGTGATGGATGAAAGCTTGCTAAGAAGCGTAGGTCATCATGAAGTCGAGTTGGGCTTGCTCAGAAATTAGGTAGTGCGTGCATGTGTGCGAAAAATAATCACGTGGGTGTGAGAAATAAGGACGTAAGTGAGCGAAATAGCACTTGGGTGTGAGAAATGAGCACGTGGGTGTGAAAAATTAGCATTTAGGTGTGAGAAATTAGCACGTGGGTGTGAAAAATTAGCAGTTAGGTGTGAGAAATTAACACGTGGGTGTGAAAAATGAGCACGTGGGTGTGAGAAATGAGCACGTGGGCGTGAGAAGACAACCACTATTTCATTGTGTCTGGGAACCACGTAGTCTGAATGATAGGGGACGTCGCCCGAAGTCGGTGCGTGGAAGCACCTTTTTTTGCTCATGGAAATTTCAGTCTAAAATATTCCAGCTTTTTTTGCTGTCATACGAACGCTTGTTTAGCAATTGTCCTCCTCGTAGCTTCTATAAAATGGAATTCACTTAATCATGGCGAGAAAAGAACATCTTCGTTGGGTATTTTCCTCTCACGCTGGTCGGGCTTGGCAACAAATCTGAACTCGACTTCACTTTTCAAGATGACGCTAGTTTTTACTCTATGAATTTGCGTTCATTTTATTCATGTCTTTTACAAATCTGATGTTTTTCTTGGATAGATTATTTAACAATTTTTACCTCTCTACAGAAGTTGAAGCAACTGTTGAACACGGGGCTGTTAAATATATGTTTTATTGCACGACTTCTATTAGATATTTAAATTATCATTTATTAAATTCGCCGCAATCAGCAAATGAAACACTGCATTATATGTGAATGAAGTTTACCAGTTTAATTCCAGGGAACCACTCATCTTTAATAAGCTTACATCTTCATAAGTTGGTGCTTCATGGAATTTTAAAATCGTTTTATCGTATCATCCGACGGTTGTCAATGGAAAGCGTTCGAAATAATTTTCAAGCCTATGGTATTCATAAAAATCTACTTGGCGATAAATGCATTCAAGTTTTATATACGACCTCAAAAGTGGTATTTGTGAAGCGAGGGCGTCCATAGGACAAAGAGAGATAGGGGCCATAGCCTGGCCAAAAAAAGGACACTTGCCCGACTAGTGAAAAGCACGTGGGTACAACTCGTGGCGCCAACACCGCTGCTTGTCTTGTCTTAAAGAAGCCGTCTTGATTGAGGACTGCATGGCGGAGCGTTACTTTAAAGGCGGTCCAACACAAACAGGTGATGCAGCATGAACCCTTAAAGGCTACCGTCCCTGGCGTTACGCATTGTCGTGTTCTGCACCTTGACAGTGTATGAACCCTTAAAGCCTTAAAGCTACCGTCCCTGACGTTACGCATTGTCGTATTCTGCACCATGAAAGTGTATGAACCCTCAGAGGCTACCGTCCTTGGCATTACGCATTGTCGTTTTCTGCACCATGATAGTGTATGAACCCTTAGAGGATACCGTCCCTGCGTTACACATTGTCGCGTTCTGCACAATGGCAGTGTATGAAGCCTTGAAGGCTTCCGTCCCTGGCGTTGCGCATTGTCGTATTCTGCACCATGACAGTGTATGAAGCATTGAAGGCTACAATCCATTCCGCTATACGCATTGTCATGCTCTGCACCACGGTAGTTAATGATCCCTCAAAAGGCTGCGGAGCTTGTAAGCACTACTATTAGTTTCATTCCACAACGATAAAATATTTGATTTCAGTTAATTTTATAATACTGCATCAATGAGCTTACTAAAGAAGTCGAAGCTCGCAACCAACACCAGCTAACTGAAGCTGTTCAAGGACTTTGGCCGAGACGCCTCAGCCTCAATGCACATCACATCCCGATGAAATTAGGATACACTTCACAAACAAATCGGGAATAGCGTAGAAGTAATAGTCGTGGGTTCTGGATGGTTGTTTCAGTCACGGCTGTTCCAGTCCATTGCACTTGACATGTCCACAGCTGTTCCAGCAAGTGGCACTTAACATGTCCACTGATGTTCCGGTTTGTGAAACCTGACATGCCCACGGCTGATCCAGTCTCTGACACCTGACATGTCCACGTCTGTTGAAGTCTATGACACCTGACATGCCCACGGCTGTTGAAGTCTATGACACCTGACATGTCCACGGTTGTTCCAGTCTATGACACCTGACATATCCACGGTTGTTCCAGTCTATGACACCTGACATGTCCACGGCCTGTCTCTTATACACATCTAGATGTGTATAAGAGACATGATCTCACCAGGTGGCATGCATTGTCTCTCTTTGGATCTCAATATTTTCCCACTAGATGGCCACGACCTAGTGTTTTGGCAGTATTTTGACGCACAAATGTATGACGTCACGGTCGTCACCATTTCAACCATCAACAAACGCATGGAACTAAAACAAAGCTTAATATAAAGGAAAAGCTGGAGAGGTGACGGAATTACCCACGATGTTGGAATATACCGCGTTTACCCTATCCAGTTTAGATTTTTCTGGCCTTTTAATGAATACTGGAGTAATTATATTCATGACAATTCTACTCTGAGACAATTTTTTTTTCTGGAGATGAAAGTCTCAAAGACAGACTCAAACAAAGTAAGCTGTTGGGTTCGCCACTCATCATCTCATTCTCTTGCTATAAATATGAACAATAATATTCAATTATCTTGGTACATTACCCAATTAGCATCACTCACCAATTTAAGGAATTCTTGAAATGAATCAGCCACTTGTACAAGAATATGTAATCCATTTGTAAGATCTACAGCCATTTTTCAGTTCTCAGCTATTACTTTTTTCTATGTTAGGTAACTTAGGTATATAAATCTGCCGAGTGCTGACAAAAATTAATCTAATCACTGTAACTCATCTAATTATCTCTGAAATCTGAATGATAGTTTATTATTACTATAATTATTAATATAGTTAGATTAGAGATATTAGATTTATTATGCAATAATAAGGAGTAAGGATCTAGTTTTGCTTTCGACCAAGTAGGTACCAAAGTCCTATAGTTTTCTCTTCATAAATTCGGAGCTAAACGTCCGCTCGCTCGGAATTTCTTCCACTAATAAATTAACGAAACCGTTTTTTCATTTTGTCATTTCACGACTTCTACAATATTATTGTGGGCTCTGATGCGCTTGCAAGAAAACTTGACAGGCACATAAGCTCTTGTTACTTGTACCTGTAGACCAACAAAATAAGTACAAATTCCCGTACCAAAATCGTTTAAATAAATTTTAAAGCTTCGGCCACCATAGGTGGCCTTAGGATACAGTACTTGATGTCATGTCATCAAATAACTCGTTGGGTGCACCAACGAAATTATCAACACGAATGCTCTAATTTTATCTTCATCAATGAAAAGATCGTTGTCAAATCATTATTTTTGACAGAATGCTAATTTTATGGAGTTGGCAACACGCATGGAGCGTTTCTGCGTTTTTAGCGCATTTTCTCATTTATGGAAAAAATGCACTATTGTGCTCGCCATGTCCGTCCGTCTGTCTGTCCGTGACCTCAAGTTTTCGTCGACGAAAAAATGCGCGCTCTGTCACTCACTGCAGTGAGTACTGAGTTAGATTTTTTTTTATAAATCGCGCACAGCAATTACTTCATCTGGAAACTAAATAATATACCAGGCTTTTAAATAAATATAAAAGAAAGTCAACAACCTAGAAAATATATAACTTCTTAAAAAAATCTAAACCAACAAATTGCAGACACTAGAGAAAGTATTGCTAAGTAAAGAAGGATATCATAAAACCCCGCGTCGTAGAAAAGTTTATTCCATATAAATAAAACAAGAAACGCTTCAACAAGGGCAAAAAATAACTTGCAGATTATTATATAAAAATAACAATCTCAACAAGAAGCTAATTTGTCCCCAGTTGAATACAATCAATGTAAGTTGTTACATAAGAGGCTAATCAGGCACGCACATTTTCACTCAGTGATGATGCTTTTTTGTTTGAAGGCGTAATAAAAGATGGCTATGGAGCAGATCACGGCTATGGTTTCTGACTGCACCCAAGGTCCACGGTATGCGCCCTGCAAACATAAGAAAAAATTTATGAAGTTCACAGCAACCCCCATTTCGCTGATCTCACTCCTAACTCAATCTAGTGAGCATCAGTGAAATTGTAACTGCTAGTCGCAACCTCTATTCTCACAAGATGGTTTACAAAATTTCATCAAATTTGTTTTAAATCATAGTATGGGCAATCCATTTCAGCTCATTCATTAGTAACTATCAGGTTAGCAAAGCATTGCCCGGGCTCTACAATTTCTGCCATTATGGAATCCTGTTATCTCAAATCCTGTCATTCTCATCAATACCTGATCCCGCTAATTTATCAATTACAAGGTTTATGGCTTCTAATTAAATACCGTACCGGCCCGCTCAAACCCACATTTTTGTCATTTTATATACAAGATAGAAATGCCATTTAACGTCGTTTTGCAATATGGACAAACAATTTAGCCTCCTTAAAATCAAATTGATATTTGCCAATAGCAAAGTAAAATTTTAATTTCTGATTAAATCCTTTCCTCCATTTCTCTGTTTTTCTACTACAAAGAATAAAACTTAAGTGCAGGTTACCCGATGAGATAAGTAGGTATCGTGGATACATTGACGCATCTAAACAACCTCACTAGGTATTTGTCAAGCTTCAAACTCACCAACTCAGACATGTGTACGGTCATTTTTCAAAAAACACCTAAAAAATGTTGTCACTCATTCCAGTTACACATCGTTAGAACAGCTATAACATAACGATTTAAATTAAAATATTCTTATAATGCCATTCTTCGAACATTATTTGATATAATTGGTGTTTAATTTTTACTAGTACACTACTTTCGGTATTGGATTTATAGTTTAGTAATGTGGTTGAGGTACCGTATACTGCGTCTAGAAAACGAAGCAAACTGAATGTTCTTGACGCTAGTTAACTGGCAGCACTCACGGGATGGTACAGGGAGATGGTGGCCAGAGGCTTCACGCCGCTGCTGCTCTCTCCACTGCGCTGCGCCTGAAACATCACACTTTCTTTTAATATTTGAGCAAAACACAATGGGGTGGTTAATAGAGTTTTAAAGCATCACTGAAAAAACTAAGTTCTTAACTTGGTTCTACAAAATACATGAAAGTATCATCAAATTTGTTACGTTTTCAATAAAATCTCCACCTATTCAGAAATGAAAAAATCAATTGAAGAAAAATGATGCATAATCAATTCTTGAGTAGAAGAATTAGATGCCAAATTAGAAAAAAAACATCAACTGAAAGTCCCCACTCCAGATTAAGAGTTTTTCTTCATTAAACACTTGTTTGATCCTACTGATGTGTGAAGCATTTTCGTTCAAAATCTTTTCCAATAGAGTTCCTTAGAACCATTCATCACCAACATAATCTCTGGCAGATGAAGCTATATTTGTGCATTTGCAATAGTATTTCTGACTTCAGCTAAAGAGTTGTGGTGAAGAATTAATATCTTTTAACAAATCACAATCCAGTTTGTCATACCCAAAATAAACAAATATTAGAATGGCTTTAAAATAAATCAATAAAATACAAAATATCTTACCTTTTTAAGAGCTGAGTATCCTTGTTCATCAAAGAGCTTGATGTCTTGGACACCAGAGGGAGCTGATGCAATGTCAGAAATCCAGCTCACCTGGTTTAATTTAATATGTTAATTTCTCATAAAAATAATATCTAAATTCATAACACTAATAAATGGTTAACCTCATTTGATTTGATGTAGTTTAGAACTAGAAGTTATTCAAGAGCAACAAAAAAAGTTTTATGATAGAAACTGATATCTACTGATAATAATTATAGATTTAATTCAATTTTTTACAAAATTATGGAAAGTTCAGTTGCGGATACATGTAAATTAATACATTCTAATTTAAGGACCTGATAGCGGCTGCCATCCAAGGAGCGAGCAACACCTGCCACCCCAGAGCTTGTCTCAGCATAGAGGGAGATATCCTGCATACAGAAATTGATATTTCAATATTCAATACACTGAAAAAGTGCATGCATTTAACAGGTACAGAACAGTGTCATTGTAAAAAATACATCCAGGCTACTATGATTGTAGCCATTAACTGACAAACAAGTAATAATACATTACTTTGCAGGCAGTTTTAGCATCAGTTCATCAACTTCTTGGACCACTCCATCATATAAAAAAGGCAAATGCCAAAAGCTATGAAACTCCTAATTTAATGCAATCAAGTTCAAGTTTCCAATAACCTATAAAGATCATATCAATGCTGGAAATTTCTTGTAAAGGGTTTAGTTTGTCAGCAGATACTATGGCTGCCAGAACAGAATTCCTGTACACAATATATTTATAAGAAGACTTTTGAAATTAATTCTTTGACCCTAAAGAATAATAATTACTAAAAATGGTCAACTTAAATTTCAAAATTGGGTAGATTACAGCACAAGTCAAGAGGAACCATGTGAATTCAAAGTCAGAAAAACTTTCTACAATCATAATGACATATATAATGAGTCAACAATAAGATAATTGAATATGTTCACATTGACTACTTGCTGAATAACTGTATCTCCATAAAGAAAGCTGAACTAACCTTTGCACCATTGGAGCAGGTTAGGGTGAAGTCAGAGATGTAGGCAACTTTGGACACAATTGTAGCATCAAGTGTTGTGAAGCCAGATGCCTCAACAACAGCATTCTCACACACACTGCTTCCTGAAATATAATAATTTATGTTTAAAAATTACTTTTTCAACTTCTAAAGAGGAAAGTGTCCCCATTGTTACACATGTACAATGAATATCTTATTTCATTTTAAAATATTAAAAAAAATATATAATAAAACTTTTCTTTAACACATTGACTACATATTGGTACATATGCATACCACAAAATGTATTTCTCCAGGAGGTAGTGGTACATAATTCAGGTTGCCTAAAATTGGCCAAATCCGAGAACAAAAAAGGCCAAAAAAGGCTGATAATTCAATGTATATAGTCAGATGCGGTAAAACAGGACCGAAATTACTAACAAGCCTGTAGCATCTATACCATGAATAACTAAAAAACCCTAAACCTATCACAAGGTGCATTTATGCAATGGGCTTCTAAGCTACAACTCAGACATTTTGCATCTAACATAGTTTTCTGTACAGATTAAAAAAAGTGAGCTGGTCCCATCTTACCCCATTGGGGTAAGATGGGACCAGGTGGGGGTAAGACAGGACCAACTGGTAATTCTTATGTTACAAAGTTACTAATAAAAGTACAATTCTGATATTCAATATTATCCATCTAGAAACACATTATTTGATTAAACAACCACTTGTTACTGTTTTGTGTTGTGGGAAGTCAACTCCAATATCAGTCACATTGGAGGTTTTGTCACAAGAAAACTTTGTTGACATTAAATGCAGCCATATGATCCATTTAGTCTTTTGAGCAAAAAATATGGATGATATTATATAGCTGGCGTAGTTAATTATCATTTTATACTTTAATTGTGCTAGCAATAATAAGAAGTCCGAGAAACTTGCAAGAAACTCCAGTATTTTAGCAATAATGCCTTATTTGAGATTGAAATTTTCAAAGAAATTTGGTGAGAGTGAGCAAAAGATAGAAATTTTGACCAAAATACTCCAGTTACTGCATAATAATATATTCATTTAAAAACTATTTTTGATATACTGTAGGTAATAGAGGACCACTTGTGGGGTAAGACTGGACCATATGTGGTGTAAGATAGGACCGTTTGTGGGGTAAAACAGGATCATTTAGTGGTCCCGTCTTACCCCATGTCCGGTCCTTTTTTACCTCATTTTAGAATACATGTCAGGCAGTGATGGTAGCAGGTAGGAATGCCAAGTATGTCTCAAAAGTTGCTTATTACTTGAGGTTACCCGCTGACATCCACAAACCTGGCCAAAAATTTTTTTGTCATTAGACAGAGCTTATTTCCTAAACAGGGTTAACTATTTTGTGACCCTTCTTCACATAGGTTTTCTTTAAAAATTAGCCAGAAATTCAATATTTGCAGAAGAGGGTGAAACAAACACTGAAATGACAGGCAATGATTGCTCTAACATATTCTTTTGTCAAATTAAATTTAGTGCATTTAGAATGCACACCATGAGCTGGTCCTTTCTTACCCCATGAAAGCTGCGATCCTGTCTTACCCCATTTGACTATACCTTATGTAGCCTTGTGGGAATAGAATGTTGCTGGTATCCATGATACTTTGCTGGTCTACTTATAAGACTTAAAATTGAACTTGAAGGAGAGGTTAAAGATCTCCCTGCTAATGCCAGCCTGCCAGGTGCACAAATTCAATTCTATCTAAAGAATCTATGACATTCTATCTTCTATGCACTCTTCTGTTATGAAAGATGCATTAATTTTTTGAAAAGTTGAATTTTTTTGCTAAACGAGGTGAATGTAATCAAAATTCTTTGTAGTTAATAATTTTTTTTTTATTAACTGGAGCCTTTACTAACTAAGGTTATTTTGTAAATTGCATTTTAGATGCGTCCAATCCTTATTACCCCATCTTGCAGAAATGGCCACGATTTTCTTTTGAATCAAGGTACCTAAAAAAATTTGTTGATCAAGTTTTAAAGCCAACACCGGTCTGCACATTTTTTTCAAGCAAAATTTTCTGGACAAGGTGGCCCAGAGGTTAAAGTTCAGAGTAGGAGATTGGCTCAGAGAGGGTCAGGTTCAATCCCAGCTCTGTGCATCAGTTTCTGGTCAGAATTGGCAAGGAGGCCAAGGCAGTTAAGCAAGGCAGAATTGTAGCAGTGGGTTGTGAGTTTGAGACTGCAATGCAGCAAGCTGTGTCTGCTCTCTGCTGTGAACTGTGATGCCTGTGTATGTTCTGCAGTGTTATGAACTGGCAACAGCAACAGGCCAACAAGCGACAACCTAGGATCATAGTGGCAAACCAGTGATTATTTAGAATCGGTTCATTTTTAATTTTCTCATTTACTCAAAATTTACCCAATTTTCTTATATATGATGATGCTGGTATCCATGAAACTTTGCTGATCTACTTAGGGTAAACAGGGTATATTCTGACACTTTAAGGACTTAGCAAGAAATGAATAGCTATAAAAAAATCACTGTATGCGCAACTTGAGTTCTGTTTGCTTGATGTCACTCTCAAAACACCGCACTGCGTGCCAGCAACAATGAAACGTCATTGTTGCTAAAATGTTGCCATATTTATTTAAGAGCCTTTAGAATGCAAACCTACCAAATCCATATATTCCGATGCTGTGTGTGACTAAATTTGGCATTTTGGGAGGCTAATTCCGGCCGCGCTTCAATTCCTTCAAACTCTACTAATTCCTAATTCCGACACTCTTGTGTTCAAATTCCGATTGCTGTGTAAGCTGTATTGGAATAGGGTAAACGCGGTATATTCTAACACATTAAGCCACTGTGCAGAGAGTGGATGAATATTGCAAGACCTGGTGTTTTGGCCCAGACCTGGTGTTATGGCAATAGTATGGCACGCAATAGTATGATGTCACTATTTCAACCATCAACGAATGCATAGAACTAAGAAAAAGCTTAATATAAAGGAAAAAAGTGTCAGAATTACCCACAATGTCGGAATATATATACCGTGTTTATCCTATAGGACTTGAAATTGAACTTGAACTCTGCTTTGCCACTATGGCTGGTACTTCCTAGGGTAAACGCGGTATATTCCGTCACATTAAGGATGCATCAAGAAATGAAAAACTATAAAAAAATAACTGTATGCGTTACTCGAGTTCTGTTTGCTTTATTTGACTCGCAAAACACCGTACTATGCGCCAGCACTAACGAAACGTCACAAAATGTTGCCATATTTATTTAAAAGCCTTTAGAATGGAAACCTACCAAATCCCTATATTCCATCACTGTGTGTGGCAATATTCAGCACGTGGTGAGGCGTATTACGTCCGCGCTTCAAATTCTACTGATACGTAATGCCGTCATCCACGTGTTCGAAACTTCGAATTCCGTTTGCAGTGTGAGCTGTATTGGAATACAACACGGCTTTGAATTAGAACACTAATGAATATTGAACACTACTTAATTACGCTTTTAATTAACAACTATTAGGCTTTCAATTAAGCAAATTTTTATTTTTGTACACAGCTTGGAACGATCTGTGTGTGTCCAATTCAAGTTGTGACGGAATTAGTTTGCATGTGTCTAAATCCATTTCTCAACTTAATCATCTATTAATTTATTTACCACTTGAAATCAGCAAATACAAGTATACTTAAAGGATTCCTAATATATTCACAGACGTATTTAAAAGTCTCAAACCATAATATTCTTCCTATACAAACAGTTATTAACTATTTGGTAGAGCAAGGTTAACTGTCAAATTTGACACATTTTCCGATGATCTCACTGGGTAGTGTGGATCGTCTCTTTTTGGATCTCAATATTTTCCCACTAGATGGCCAAGTTCTAGTGTTTTGGCATTAGTTCGACGCGCAAATGTATGACGTCACCATTTCAACCATCAACGAACGCATGGAACTAAAACAAAGCTTAATATAAAATATATTAATATATAAGGAAAAACTAAAGAGGTGACGGAATTACCCACGATGACGGAATATACCGCGTTTTCCCTACTTCCTAAACGCTGAAACTGCTATAATAACGGGGCTATTATAGCTAATTATTAATATGCCAAATATTGTTTTAGCCTACTACGTCTCTACAGACCTTAGCAAGTTAGCAGAAGTAGCTACCTTTTTAGCTTTTTGAAACAACATTTTTAAACATTTTTTCAGCGATTTTTTAGAACTAGTAGAGGTATGATTTATCAAATTCCTTCATGCTACATAGATAGAAAAATTTGTGTATTTTATACCATTATTTTTAGTTTTGCAATATTTCAATTATTTTTGCTGCTATAACATTAATTAAGCCGTGGCAGAGGACTGTTCCGATTTACCCCGCCCACACCTTATTACCCCGTTTCTAGTATGGAATATATCTACTTGGCGAGCTGCGACTGAATTTTTTGAGCCGTGGTTTTATGGATTTGCCAGCCGTGATTCCATTTCTACGAGCCGTGATTCTATTTCACCGAGCCGTGAATTCCATATCTCGGCCATGAAAAGCCATTTANGACATATCCACGGTTGTTCCAGTCTATGACACCTGACATATCCACGGTTGTTCCAGTCTATGACACCTGACATGTCCACGGTTGTTCCAGTCTATGACACCTGACATGTCCACGGCTGTTCTAGTCTATGACACCTGACATGTCCTCGGCTGTTGAAGTCTATGACACCTGACATGTCCACGGCTGTTCCAGTCTATGACACCTGACATGTCCACGGCTGTTCCGGTCTATGGCACCTGACATGTCCACGGCTGTTCCAGTCTATGACACCTGACATGTCCACGGCTGTTCGAGTGTGGAACTGAATAAAAAAAACTCGTTGTTCATCACCTAATAAATATAAAATTTAATAAATTTTTATCTATCAATTATAATGGAATGAAATACCAAGCCAATTCACTATTAATTCTTTTTAATCACCAACGTACTGATTTGTTGTACGTTGAATAATTGCAATTTCTGACATTTATTTTCTAGAAACTGTCTTGCTATTATTAGCACATGAAATAATCAAATTTTCATCATAAATTTGGAATGAAAATATTCAATAATTTATCTATTTACAAAAGCTTTGACTAGGATTTCGTACTAAGGCTCTTATTTATGTTCTCGTCGAAAGGCATTAGCGTCGAAAGAATAGTCGGCAGAGCAGTCGCAGTGAAAAAAGTCTGCGGAGTTTAGCCCTAAAATTTGAGTATCTCGCTGCGCAGATATTATTAATTCAGTGCAGAATATATTCAGGTAACGCCTATGCCAGTTATTTCTGATGTTGTAGATAATTATTTATCGTTTTTAATGAATTTTCGAGGTTGTAGCTCTTATGGACGTGAAATAAATAGAATAATGATTTTGCAATAAAATTTTACTAAACCACCAGCGACATCAACAACATCTAAAAGTCCTTTCGAAGATTAATTACTTATCAAACCTGTTACAGTTATTTTCCTTTAAATACCATGTTATCACATTAACGAAACAAATCTCAGTAAATTGATACAAATTAATCTTTATTGCTGTAAGTCCTTGAATAATGTTTGGTCTAAAGAGCAAGTTGATCGCGCACTAATTTGCAGCTTGCATCAAGCCGATGGTTACATGGAAGAGAGCGACTAGCTGCCCTACACGAAACAAAGCGAGGTGCCTACAGCGGGCTGCCCTCGGGCTGCCATGAGTCAATTATGACCGAGAGGAATTACTGTCCCTCAGAGGGTAAAACTCGGCCCGGTCTGCACGAGCAGTTAAAAAAAAAGCTGAAATGACTCACCGTGAGTACTTTGGAACAAGGGGAAACGAGGGCTGGGTGAGGGTAAAGAGTTGGAGAGTACGTGGCCGAGATATTGCAGCCGTGTCGAGCGAGAGGGAAAGAGCGCGAGACAAGGGGAGGAGTGTGTGAGGGGATGAGAGGCAGTAGGTGCTGCCCCAAGTGTCGAGGGGGGAGTGAGGTGGAATATGAGGAGAAGGAAGGGAGGTGGATGAGACTCAGGTTCTCGCATCAATACAAACCTCCTGGCTGAGCTGGAGTCCAATAGTGAAACATTGAAGAGCGCCGAGGCAGCGAAGCGATTCTCTGTCCGTCGTATTCAGCGCTGGCGGCTGAAATGTTTCCATTATTTCCCTACGCGCTCTGTTCAGCGTCTGAATAATCAAATGCTACATTCAGCAGCTGAATAATTTAATATTTTGTTCTGCAGCTGAATAATCAAATGTTATCCTCAGCAGTCGAATAATCAAATGATACATTCAGCAGCTGAATAATCAAATGTTTTTTAGCAGCTGAGTAATTGGCGAAAAAAAAAATCAGCCGAACATTAATTACCACCCATGCTCTGACCTTTAAATCGTTTTTCGATCAACCATAAATTTTATAAATAAAGAATTTGTAATCGAGTGGCATAACGGAAACAATAATGTCGCATGTGTACATGCACCAGAGGGAGACGAGTACACTGCTTCCCTCAGGTACATGCACCAGAGGGAGACAAGTGCACTGCCTGCCTCAGGTACATGCACCAGAGGGAGACAAGTGCACTGCTTCCCTCAGGTACATGCACCAGAGGGAGACGAGTGCACTGCTTCCCTCAGGTACATGCACCAGAGGGAGACGAGTGCACTGCTTCCCTCAGGTACATGTCCCGGAGAGGTACCATTCTAGATGGCAATAAATCATTCAGTTTGTGTTGGTCTAAATATTGAGAGTTCTATGGCACAAATGATTCTGACTGAAAGAGAAGAAAATTCCACGAAGCTGAAGAAAATTGATTTCCGTTTTAAAATGAATAGTAAAGGCCATGGAATCGTATTTTCTTGATGAAATAACACTAAAAACGATATAGTCTATAAATTTTGAAACAAAAATTATATTCACATCTATAAAATTCAGGGATGTGAAATTTATAGCTGCTGTACATTATAAATAACGTCCGAATCTGATGTATTAAAATATTTTAGTTCTGGATTTATAACAAACTGCGATCTAAATTATGAGGGGATAATGAGTTGTGTCTAGACATCTGAGCTGAAGTTTGTGTCACGACATCCGTGGCTGTTAATTTGGTGCTTGCAACGAGATGCTTTAGAGAAAAAGTGCATAAGGAGCCTGCTAGATAACACTTAGAAAATGATCGCCAGCACATCGGCGTACAAAATGCAATAAAATTCGTGACGTTACGTGGAGCCTGAAGAAGAAGAAGAGATATAGGAGCGAAAGGCAAGGAATGAGAGTAAAGAGAGTCATAGGACGTGAGGGGGAAACGATGGATGCTGTGACGGCGGTGAGAGGGAGGGGGGGTGAGCCAGCGTTTCCAGAGGTTAGGCAGGATCTGTGAGCTCAGTGTGGTTCAGAAGGCAAGGGGAGGTGACGCTCCACATATTCAGCCAGGATACAACACCACTGAACACGATAACAACGACATCAACATTAACTTTAGTGCCACCACCCAAGTTACGCGACGACTCATTAGTTAATTCCGGCTGAATTAAGGAGAGAGCTTCTTAAGTGCTAAGTTTCCATGAACGGTAGTACAAAGTCGACAATATTCTGTTAGAGTTTAGCATTTGTCATGTGTTCAATCCATTGTTAGAGTAAGGAGCTTGAACGAGTTTTTCGCTTGTAAAGACACCCGTCTTTAACATTAAAGACAGATGTGTCGAATGTTTAGTGACTGTAATTGGCGTTCCATCTCTGTTGCGTGGGCTTCGCTACTTTAAGAACTACTCGTGCTGGCAGAGGATGGACTGTTACATGATTATCAGTGGACGATGAAATTGCATTATAAATTCTGAGTGAAAATATATCGAGAAGAAATTTATAATAATGCAATGACAAAGAGAGAGGCATGCGGCGACGAACATCAGCACGGTCTGTGCTGACCAGCACCATCCCGGCTCCCAGTTCCACGTCACCTGCTACTTCTTTCTCAGCCACGTTCACCACCGCCGACAACTCGTCGACCATCGGCAATGTTCTTCACGACACAGAATTACAGCAGAATGCAAGTCCGTCTGTATCTCTGTCGTGCTTCACGTCAGCCAGTGACGTGGTTTTACCGAACACGTGTATCGGAGTTTTGTCGTGTGATGGCGACATAGTGACGACATCCGGAGTAGTGTTGCCTTTGTCTCCGGACTCTTCGGCTGAAGTGTCGTTTTCACCAGCGATCTCATTGACAGCCGCGACAGCATCTGCCGGCACCGGATCTTGTGTCACAGCTGATGCTTTTATCGTGACTAGAGACTGTGTATCTACCGTGCCAGGTACCTTAACATCTTTCAGCTTGGTAGACGACAGTGTCAACACTAGCAACAGTGAAAACCTAACTACAGTTCGTGTCTCCGATTCGGGGTGCGGACTCGTGGTTACCTCAGCTGCCGGAAGTGGCACAGGCATCGATTCTGGCGTCGGTGTGTCTGCCGTGGCAGCTTCTGTTGCTGTTAGCGTTGCCAGTTCAGACTGTAAGAGTAGCCAGCCACAAGGAGGCTATGCTAGTGACGTCGAACTCATGTCATACATCATCGAAGTTGCCGATCGCGCCCAAAGGTGAGCTTCGATACTTATTCATTATCATGATTCGATACCAAAGTTTGACAACTATGTACAATGTAATTGTAAAAGAGTTATTTAATAAAATCAACAGTATTGTGTTATGTGAGTGGGTTATTTGGCTGGGTGGAACTTTTATCGATTGTCGTTGCTAGCTCCGTGGTCGCTGGTTTATTTGCGAGATTCAACATACGCTCATCTTATCCCGGTGCAAATTAAGAATAGATTAGGACTGTTTACGACTTGTGTTGCGCTAATGAAAGCCTTCAAAATATGAAATAATATTTTAGGAAATTCGTGATTCTCATGTTGAATTTATTGAACAGCATTTGATCCTCAATATTTGTGGCATTTTCTTATAATTACGTGGAGGTATAGCCGCATGAATACAATTTTTTATTATTTGTATGGGACAATTTTTACGTTCGTTGATTGTCGCCTACGTTGGATTTAAGTAATAAGAACCGAGGGCTTGGCAAAAATTGAATAGACGTACGGTGCATAGAACTTATAGTTTAAACAAAGCCATAAATTTAAACACTGGCGACTGATTGAGTCGCCATTCCACTCAGTTTGCTACCTATCAGTGCAAACGACATTATGGTCAAAAATACATAATCACGCGTTTATGATTTACATAATAACGAATTTAAACATAACCGAATAATGTTCAAAGAGACATGAATCTTGCTGGGAAATTCTTATACTCTTATTATTTTTTATCTTATAATAATATAAAAATACTCGCAGCCGTGGCGTGCAGCAACGTGACAGCCGCTTGATGAGTCATTGTCGGCGCTTGAGGCAAGCGAACGCCGCCTCGAAAACTCTGTTGTTTTCAAAAGTTGTTAATTATTGTTGTTCAAGTATTAGCGATTAATGATGGATGCATTCCTTAAAGTTGTTGGGGATGAGTCGTGATGGTGGTGATGATAATGCTGAATAATAATGTTCGTAATAACAAGGTTACAATGTTTGCAGTCCGTCGCCAGGTTTAGACTAGAATGAGCTTCTCTGAGTGCTGTTCTCAGTAACATATTTAACTTCATGCATTCTATTATAGAAGTTCTCTTGCCAAAAGCTGTTTGAAGTTAACTTTCGTATGTTTATAGCGATGTTGATGTTGATAGTTCCGAAGTTCACCTTGGGCTTTGTCGGAGTAACCGCGATGGACAGATTGAGCAACAACAATGGGAAACCCTTCCAAACTTGTATGTTTCTCGTAAGCTTAGTGAAAATGCGTTCTCGCGAGAGTGCTAAGAACTTTATATAAGTTTGATCCTTACTGAACGCCTTAGATGCTGGTCCAAGTCCAGTCTAAGTCTGGGACGGTGACTCTCACCAGCCAATGGCTGAACTTTCTAATTCAGGCGTGTCAGTGGTACAAAAATATCGTTTGTAAAATAATCCTCTCGAGATGAGCATGGCATAATTTTCTTGCAATATTATCGTATCGCATGTTCGCTATAAACAAACCAGCCGGTAATTTGTAGCAACCGTTGTTGTAGGGTAGAATTTGAAGATTAAATGTGCTGCGTATATTTTTGTGCATTTTCGTCTGTCTCACGCTACCCCGCAGGTAGGAATTTTAACCTTTTTTTGTTTGCAGTGTCTGGTTATGTCAAATTTCTCTCTATATATACGGACGATTCGACAACACCGCAATTCTTGATCAAATTTTTGCGCATTCATCGATAAATGAGATTTGTACGCAGCAAAGTTGGCAAACTTCCTACTTCTTATACGGTTATTGTTTGTTCTGCGTCGATGAATTTCTGATTACAATCGTTGGCAATAATCACAGTGCAACACCCTCTGGTACCGAATTTAGGGTATCAGCAGTTTTTTTTACCCTGAACTCACAATGGTGAACACCGCTGAGGGGCTGCATCGTCAGCCTTCAGCTGCCCCAGTCTGAAGTCCCCGAAGAGCGCAACTTCAAACAAGTTGCATAATAAACTCGTCTGAACTTCGTTCCCGAACTTAGAACTTCGCCGCCTAGACGTGAGCTAAGGGAATGAATATTTCCATATAAAACTGGGTTTGGTGAACGGAAAACTTTAGTTTCTGGACTCATCACATGAATGAGCGCATGGGGACGTGTACGCAAAAGTAAAACTTACACCCTCAGTCCAGCAGTAACTCGAAATTCTGGTCCTAAAGTTAATTTGCCGATGTAAGCATGGAACGCGGAGTCTGCATCGCGCAGTACCATTTTGGTGGACAATATATATGCTTGTTAAAATTTATTAATTTTCCTGTATATTAGTAGGGGGTTCCACTGAATTTTCCCCTTGAGAATCTCGTTATCTTGTTATCAGAAATTTAAATTATAATAATAACGGACACCGATAAGGAATTACTAAGCGGAAATAAAATACGCCTGTAAAATTTGCGCTATCACGTGCTAATGTTATTTTTAGGCGACACGCTATTTATTCATAGCATTTCCGCGTTTCAGTTTCTTTCTCTTCTCCATGACATTTCCCGGGAAGGCCTCAAATTGCACGAGAGTTTGAACTGTCAACGACGGTCCTCGAGCTCTGAATATTCGAGTGTTTTTCTTTTCAGGAATTTGTTGAAGGAGCTATGTCAGTCTGGCACCTACCGCCCTTTCGTGGCAGTCCCTCCGAACTGGGAATACAGTTTTTTTGCATAAGCATAGCGGTCTCAGCGGGTACGGTTTTGCATGATGCGACTCTCCGGAACCCCATGCTTTTGCGTCGTCGCGCCGCGCCAAACTCAATTTGTGCTCGTGGCGAAGGAGGGAGCGTTAAATTCGGGGGAGCAAGCATCACTACACTGGCGAGAAGGTGCCTCTTTTCTGGGAGCGCGCATCCCTTCATATTTGCGTGTAGGCCTTCCAGTTTAGCTATCCATATGGCGCAGGCATCTTAGTACGTTCATTTTCGTTGTCTCGTTGAATATTGATGTTGATTCAAATGATTCCACCTTATTTCCCTGTAACGATTTTATTTCTTTCTTTGAACTTCATTAATTCCGTAAATGGAAAGAAGATTGACGCACATTTTATTCATTTTATGGCCCACATTTTGAAAATCTACCGGTAGACTGTTGCAATCATAGAGTTACCGATGATTACAGCTCCTCACTATATAAAAAATAATAATTTTAAATTAAATCCTGAAAAAATGACGTGGGTTTTGGGACCTTGATGAAGATTGGAGTAGATCGAGCATGTGTGCCATGCAGTTGCCCAAATATGCATAATAGGCACCATACAAGGGATTATATTTGCCTCAACGACAGTTGGAAACTGAAGTAACGATCATCTCTTAACTTCCGATTGTCGTACCCGTAGGTGTAAAAAATTATCTCTTCTGTGCCTGGCTATAGACCTCAAAAGTACGAATCCGGAATTGAACGGATCCGTGTCTATAAATGTTTGATATTTCCTCAGTGAAATACAGATCTACAGAGGGAAAGTATCTATAGACTTCTTACGGACTAAATTTGGTTTTAATCCTTGTCATGAATGATGGGAATTAATGAATGCTGTGAAATTATCTACGGTTAGTTTATAACTAGTGAATGAAAGTATTTTTTTTATTAGTGCACTCGTTAAGAAACTAGAGTCGGCCCTGGCTGTCGTCTTGCAACTGTGACTAGACTAAGAGTTTGCCTGTAGTAGGCTACTAATGACTATGAAAATATTATAGAAGCTTTGTGTTTCGGCTACAAGAAAATTTCCGCCAATATTATTTGAAATCTTTTTATCTAAAAATCTCTTCAATTGCAACGTGTCTACCTCATTACACCCAATCAGCATGCGAGCTCGTCGAGAAAGACTCGGTTTTAAAGCTCGTGTTTTTGGCACCTAATTGAAATTCTTTCGTAGTAACAGAAGTTAGCTTGCCTTTATAAAACTTGCATTCGAGTGTCTTCACATTACTTAATTAACTACCTAAATTAAACTTCACGAAAATCTTTTAAGACGAAACAAAGCTTAGTCGAAGCTTGCGTAAAGACGAGAGGAGAAGTTGGATTGTTAGACTCAAAAATGCTTGCTCCAGAAATCCTGCATAGAAGAGAGAAACCTTACCGCTTGCTTCAAATATATACCTTAACAAAGCTGCTCGTGCCTTTATTTCTGCAGTTGGCATGCAAATTTCCTCGAATAAAATATCATGGTTGATTATGCTGTTCTCATTTTAAGTAATATTTAATGTCTTCAATTGTTAAACATTTGAAAAATTACACAGCTAATTTTTTTTAAATTATCCATCCGGTCCTGCGTCAAGTGCAACACAGAAGAAGTAGTGCTACTGTTTACAGAAGAGATGCTGCTCCAGTTTAAGCTAGAACTAAGTCATTTGTGTGCTGTAGGTGTAGCACTATCATTGGTAAGTTTCTCCTTGCTTAAACCTCGATTATTGTGAATGTATCATAATTGGTGTTATTTGTTTTACACAAAAGTTTGCTTATTTCTCTGTTGCTACGTGGTGCATGCTTTTCACTTCTTTACACCTTGACATAACCCCCTAAATTTAGGGCTAATGGAATCTGTTGTTTTTCGAAATGGATATTCAGAAGGCAAGGTAATTTTCGCTAATTGAAGGACCAGTCTAGGGTCCTCTGATATACGAAGCTTACTTCTTGGACTCGAGTTTACGATGGCTTAAATAATTATAAGATCACTTGATGACTTGAATGATTTGACTTAGCGCTGATTTTAAACCCTTTACCGCCTGACATGAGTAACCGGAGCAATATTGTCACACAAGGCTACCTAAAAAGGATACGTTCTAGTGAGCGCAAAATGACTTGCACTGATGTTTGCCGTCACGTACAACTTTAAAATGTTCTCTGTTGCGTACAAACGTCCTCAGTGTTCTGCACTCAATAGTTTACGTATAATTTAACACTTCTTTAAGTTGAAAGTTATGTTCCCGGAGACTGACATACGACGGCTGAGGGTTAAGAGAAAGAATTTCGACATCAGACTGAACCTGACGATCAGGCTGGTCGTGACGATC